TCAATCGATACCAAACGTGACTTTTAAAAAAAAATTCTCAAAAGTTGCCCCCCGGACCCCCTGGGTCCGCCGTTGCTATATTTATGGCTTATGTGGTCGCATAAGCCTTTGAGGCCTGCATCGCATGTGACCTTCCAGGGCCAAATGTGGTGGCCAACGTTATAGCTATGCGACCACATGGATTATAAAAATAGCCGTTGGTTGGGTTTTTATTTTTGAATTTTCTGGTGGTTCTTTTGGTGAACCAATGTAGCTTTTCATGATGAGATGGAATCGGTTCGTGTAGAGATGATTGAAAACTATATGTACATGATACTAATCATCCCTAAAACATAATATAAATGAGAAAAAACCATTCTATAATTCATCCAAAACTTTAAGAAATTTTTCATTCTTCACATATTCAAAGTTAGTTTTTCACTTGTTTTTGGTGTTTTTCATTAATGTTTGATAAATCCTACAAACTATTTGTTATTTCAATCCTTTAAAAGCCATAAGAGAGGAAAGCAAATATCGTTTAAGGGTAACGATATGTTCTTCGTGTTCAAGCCTTTGCCGGATTTTATATACATCGTCTTCTTCCTTTATTTTCTCCAATGCTGTATTTTTTGATAATATAGTATGATACCATAGCATGCAGAAAGTAATATTTTAAGTTTTATTGTCACACATATATAAAAAATTGTACGTTGAAAATATGAATCAACTGTATTGAATGCACTCTTGTAACCTTGTTTAACTTATCAAACATGAATGTAACCCTAAAACAACTTCGAATGAGAAAGCAACTTACCGAGCTTATCACCAACGTTGAATGTTTGACTTGAAGCCCAAACGGAGTAATCAATCCCGTTCGTCCAGCCATTGCCATCGCCGAATGATATATAGACTACTCAACTATGAAATTTGACATGATTCAAAGGTGGGTTGTGGGTGGGGTGGTCCAAAAACTATGCATATTTTTTAGGGAAGAGTTCATAGATCAGGTATTAACTATCACTAAATC